TGTCTATGCCGTCAGGATCACTGCCAGACAGCAGCTCCATCTGTCTTCTTTTTTGGTATTTTCACGCAAATTCTTCTGCTAGTTGGTTTTTAGTCCACTTGTATATCCTTCCCTTCAAGGCTCAGGGGTCCAGGATTATCTTCTGTGTCTGTGTTTATTGGTTTCCCTTTTCTTTGTTGAAGAGGGTCTGTTCAGTCTTTCTGCCTAGTCCACCATTTTGCAGGATCTCCATGTCTGATTTCTTGACTGCTGCTTCCATGGGAGTTCATTATGGATCCAGTTAATATGACATCTTTGACAACTTCAATCTGTAATGTGTTAATCCTTGGGAATTTGTGACAGATACTTTCTTTGTTGCCTTTCAGACATGTTTATTTTTTATGTAACTTTATCAGTGTTTCTGTTGTGATTTTTGGCTTTGATGTAATAATTGGGCAGGGCTTCTCCATCTCACAATTATTTCTTCTAATACTTTTATATTTCTTTTTATCATTTTTGCATTTGAGTACATTTCATCTTGAATTTATTTTTATTAAACTTGCTCTCTATACCTAAGTCCTTGTAACTTTTCCAAATAGCCAAGTTATCAGATATGTGTTAAAATCTTTCCCTACTGAATTTTTTATGTGCTCGTCATAAACTAAATTCCTTTTGACACTTAAGTCTGTTTTTGAAAGTATTGCTTTTTTTTTTTTTTTTTGGTAAACTTTTGTATTTGGTATAAAGCACTTCATATTTCAATGATTTTTCAGCCACATAATAAAGAAAAAGGCCAAGAATCAAGTGAAGAAGGCAGTGAAGATGTAGAGGTGGTGGATGAAACAGCAGACAGAGCAGAAGTTAAACAAAGGTAAAAAAAAAAGAATGAGAGGATATCAAAATAGGTTCAGGAAACTTTTTAATTATCTTTATTGTTGTATATATAGGAGCTCTGGTGGCACTGTGCCTAAGGCATTTGACTGCTAACCAGAAGGTTGGTGGTTCAAAGCCACCAACTGCTCTGTGGAAGGAGGACTGGGCAATCTACTTCCATAAACATTTACCGCCTTGGAAACTCGATGAAGGTCACTATGAGTCAGAGTCAAATGAACGGCAGTAGGTTTGGTTTTGGGGTTGTATATATAATTTGTTTCCTAAAATAGAGACAACATATGCTTTGAGAACAGTACTTTTCATGTTTTTGTTTTGCTTAAAGATCATTACAGTTTTTCTTACATGATTATTTTTAGTGCATGCTATTATTCTATCTTGGTTTCATCTAGAGACTATGAGGTTTTCAGAACTTATTAATGATTAAGTATTTTGTCCCTTCATTAATGATGTTTCCCTAATAGAGTGAATAGGTATCACCTGTCACTGCACTTATCTTGCTATTTTGTCTCCCTAGAACTGACTCTCACTGGAGTGCTGTCCGAAAAGCTATCTCAGAGGTTGGTTTCTCCTATCTTGTGAATGATACCCCTTGTTACCTTATAGTTCTGATCAGATTCAGATTCAAAACAAGGTGGAGATTTTAAGAAATAGTGTTAGATCTTAAACAAGATACAGGGCATCAAAAGTACAGAGCATAAGACATGTGTCTTATTTAGTAACCCTATCCTCCAAGTTATACATCTTTTTGGATAGGAAGGGTAGGTAATCCCATACATGGTATGATTTGAGGGTTGGAAAAGTGTCTCACTGATTTTGCCTGAATTTCCTATATTTGGATTAAGATTGATGTTAAATTTCAGTTAATATTTGAAAAATGCTGAAAAGCTCAACAAAGTAAAAATTATCCATAATCTTATCATTTGAAAAATTATGTAACAAAATTAAAATCTTACCTCTACTCTTTGCCTTCAGACCCTCCCCTGTAAGATATCACCATTAAAAGTTAAGTAAGTATCCTCCTAACCATTTAATCTGCTTTTAACTTAATAGGGGCCTGCTTTTGTGTATGTGTATATGTACACATACTCAAAAGCCATTAATTTCTCAGTGCATATGAGTTATGATATTAATCATCTATCACATGGCAGTATTTGTGGACAGGACAGGAGTAGGTACATTTTGATGGTGGGGTGTACAGGAAAGAGCTGGTCTGGAGCAGAGCTCTGTGCATTGGGCTCTGCATGGGGGTTAGGTCCTAGAGACAGACCAGGATTCAGTGATGGTATCCATTCAGAAATTTTGGAGTTAAATTGGTTTATTTTTCCACTAAGGTCTATATATTTGTCTTTTCCTTTTTGAGACTGTAGTTGCTATAATGGTAAGGAGAAAGTATCACAGAGGTGAGGAAACGTGAATGAAAACTAGCAAATCAATTTTGTTTTTTACTATTTCAGCAAATAAACACTATTGACGTGTTAACCACAATGGGAGCTATTCCTGCAGGGTTCAGGCCTTCCACACTCTTCCAGCTTCTGGAGGAAGGTAACATGTGTCTGACAAGTACCTCACATTTTTAGTAAAGTAATCAAGGTTTAACTCTAATTTTTCTGTCATAACCAATACAAAGGATTCCAGGTGGCACAATAGTTAAGAGTTTGGCACTAACCTTAAGGTCAGTGGTTCGAATCCACCATTTCTCTGTAGGAGAAAGGTGTGGCAATCTACTTCCGTAAAGATTACAGCCTTGGAAACCCTACGGGGCAGTTCTACTTTGTCCTATATGGTCACATTGAATTGGAATTGAGTCGGTGGCAATAGGATTTTTTAAAACCAAAACAAGTGTCATCACTGAAGCTAAAATATTATTTGATTCTAGTAGAAGTGAATTTTTAAAAAAATTTTTTTTATTTCTACAGTGTTCCCCCTGCTTCCCTCCCATACCAGGTAACCAAAAAAGAAAGTTTCCTTCCATATGAAAACCTTTCCTTGACTTTTTCTAATAATGAACTCATACTCATATTTGTCCTTCTATGATTACCTTATTTCACTCAGCATAATGTCCTCCTAGTTCATCCATGTTATGCAGTGTTTTGCAGATTCTGCATTATTCTTTAGGGTTGCATAGTATTCTATTGTGTGTATGTACCATAGTTTGGTTATCCATTCTTCTGTTAATGGTTACCTAAGTTGTTTCTTTTTGCTATTATAAATAGTTCTGTGATGAACATGAGTGTGCATATATCTGTTCTTGTCTTGGCTCTCACTTCTTTAGGATATATGCCTAGTAATGGAATGGCTGGATCAAATGGTATTTCTAATTCCAACTTTTTAAGGAATCGCTGTTCTGCTTTCCACAGTGATTATATCATTTGACAGTCCCACCAGCAGTATATGAGAGTGCCAATCTCTCTACATCCTCACCAGCATTTGTTATTTTCTGCCTTGTTAAAGTTTGCTATTAGTGCTGGGGCCAGATGGTATCTCATTGTTGTTTTGATTTGCATCTTTCTAATGGCTAATGATCATGAACACTTCTTCATCTGTTTGTTGGTCACCTGAATATCCTTTTTGGTGAAATATCTATTCATGCCTTCTGCCCATTTTTAAATTGGATTGTTTGTCTTTTTGTTGTTGAAGTGTTGGAGTTTTCTATAAATATTAGAGATAAGTCCCTTGTCAGATATGCCATTGCCAAATATTTTTTCCCAGTTTGTAGGTTCTGTTTTCACTCTTTTGGAGAAGTCTTTGGCAGCACATAAAAATTTAATTTTTAGAAGGTCCTATTCATCTAGTTTATCTTCTGCTGTTTGAACATTTTGGATTATGTTTGACAGTCTATTTATGCCATAAATGAGGGCCCCTCGATTTGTCCCAAATTTTTCCTGGAGGAACTTTATAGTTTTAGGTTTCACAATTAAATCTTTGATCCATCTGGAATTAGTTTTTATGTATGATGGGAGGTACAGATCTTGTTTTATTTTTCTGCAAATGGATATCCAATTTTGCCAGCACCATTTGTTAAAGAGACCATCTCTTCCCCATTAAATGGATTTCAGCCCTTTGTCAAAAATCAGCTGACCATATATATTGGAAGTCCTGGCCAGGGCAATAAGGCAAGAAAGAGAAATAAAAGGCATACAAATTGGCAAAGAGGACGTAAAACTGTCTCTGTGTGTGGACAATATGATCCTGTACATACTGTACAGAAAACCCAAGAGTCAACAAAAAAAAATACTGGAACTAATAGAGAGGTTCAGCAAAGTGGCAGGATGCAAGGTCAACATACAAAAATCAAGTGGATTCCTCTACACCAAAAAAGAGGCCTCTGATAAAGAAATAAGGGAAACAATACTATTTACAAAAGCTACTAAAAAGATAAAATATCTAGGAATAAACCTCACCAGAGACACAAAAGACCTATACAAAGAAAACTATAAAACACTACTACAGGAGACAACAAGGACTCTACATAAATAGAAGAACCTGCCTTGTTCATGGATAGGTAGATTGAATATTGTGAAAATGTCAATACTGCCTAAAGCAATCTACACGTTTAATGCAATCCCAATCCAGATACCAACAAAATTTTTTAAGGATATAGAAAAACCAATTACTAACTTCATATGGAAAGCAGAGAGACCTTGGATAACCAGAGCACTTCTGAAGAAGAACAAAGTGAGAGGTCTCACACTCCCGGATCTTAAAACCTACTATACAACCATAGTAGTCAAAACAGCATAGTATTGGTACAATGATAGACAGATAGACCAATGGAATAGAATTGAAAGTCCAGAAATAGACCCATCCATCTATGGACAGCTGATCTTTGACAAAGGTCCAAACCCATTAAATGGAGAAGAGATAGCTTCTTTAACAAATGGTGCTGGCAAAACTGAATATCCACTTGCAGAAAAATGAAACAAGACCCATAGCTCACTCCATACACAAAAGCAAACTCAAGCTGGATCAAAGACTTAAATGTAAAACCCCAAACTATAAAATTCATCAAAGATAAAATAGGGGCAAATCTAGGAGTCCTAATTTATAGCATAAATAGACTATCAAACATAACCTAGGATGCACAGGAGGTTTAAGAGAAACCAGATGATTGGGACCTTTTAAAAATTAAATTCTTATGCACATTGAAAGACTTCATCAAAGGGTAGAAAGAAACCTACAGATTGGGAGAAAATATTTGCCTATGACATATCTGACAAAGGATTTATCTCCAAAATCTATAGAAAACTTCAACATCAACACCAAAAAAACAAACAACCCAATTCCAAAATGGGCAAAAGACTTGAACAGACATTTCACTAAAGATGATATGCTGGCGGCCAACAAACACATGAGGAATTGCTTGCAATCTTTAGCCATTAGAGAGATGCAAATCAAAACAACGATGAGATACCATCTCATGCCAGCAATAATAGCAAAGTTCAACAGGATAGAAAATAACAAATGTTGGCGAGGTTACGGAGAGATTGGAACTCTTGTGTGCTGCTGGTGGGATTGTAAAATGGTACAAGCATTATGGCAAACGGTATGGCATTTCCTTAAAAAACTAAAAATAGAAATACCATTTGAGCCAGCAATTCCATTAGTAGCAATATATCCTAAAGAGGTGAGAGGCAGCACACGAACAGACATATGCACATGTATGTTCACTGCAGCACAATTCACTATAGCAAAGAAATGGAAACAACCTAAATGTCCATCAATGGATGAATGGATAACCAAATTATGGTACATTCACACAATGGAATACTATGCTACATTAAAGAACAATGAAGGATGTGTGAATCATCTCACAATGCGGATGAGCCTGGAGGACTTTATGCTGAGTAAAATAAGTCAATCACGGAAGGACAAGTACTGTATAAGCCCATTACTGTAAAATGACAAAGAAGGGTTTGCTTGAGAAAGGGAACTCACTTTATAGATTACTGGGGTGGGAAGGGGAGGGGAGGGATTAATTTTGGGCTAGTTGGGGGCCACACGCTGATGTGGGTAAGGGGAGGGATGCTATAGAAAGAGTCTGTGACCACCATGATAACATTAGGAAAAGGGAGGACACCGAATTGTGCATGTAACATAGAGACGACAGATGTTAATACCAACCAGTATATCCACAATACTGCATTACCATTAACACCAAACACCAGGCTACAGATAAACACATAAACATCTGAGAAGATCAGTGGGGGTCAATTGGAGTCTATTCGCTAGGATTTTGTTGAAGATTTTTGCATCTATATTCATGAGGGATATTGCTCTGTAGTTTTCCTTTTGAGTGATGTTTTTGCCTAGTTTTGGTGTCAAGGTTATGCTTGCTTCATAAAATGAATTTGGGAAGATTCCATCCTTTTCTATATTCTGGAACAGTTAGAGTAGGATTGGTATCAGTTCTTCTCTGAATGTTTAGTAGAATTCTCCAGTGAAATTGTCTGGGCCAGGGGTTTTTTTTGTTGGTAATTTTTTTATGACCTGTTTAATTTCTTCTTTTGTTATGGGTCTGTTCAAATTTTCCACCTCAGTCTGTGTTAGCTTAGGTAAGTAGTGTGTTTCTAGAAATCTGTCCATTTCTTCTAGATTTTCAAATCTGTTGGAGTATAGGTGTTCATAGTATCCTGATACTGTTTTTTCAATTTCTGTTGGTTCTGGTGCGATGTTACTCAATTCATTTCTTATTCATGTTATTTATATTCTCTCCCTCTTTTCCTGTGTTAAATTTGCCAGTGATTTGTCAATTTTATTAATCTTTTCAAAAAACCAACTTTAACTCTTGTTGATTTTTTTCTGTTGTCTTTCTGTTTTCTGTTTCATTGATTTCTGCTCGAATCTTTATTATTTTTCTTCTGGTGACTGTAGGCCTTTTTTTCCTGCTCGTTTTCTCATTTTTAGAGATACTGGGTTATGGTGTTGATTTAGGCTCTTTCTTCTTTTTTTGAT